ATGTCAAACTTAGACCTACATTGAAATATTATCCTTTTAGAATCATAACATTTTGCCCTTGTATATAAATATTCATTGAAATCACTGTCTGCAAAGCATTTACTATATAGTATTTACCCAGACGCTACTGTGGTATTGAGTGATAAAGTGCAGATTTTCCCATGGAAAACTTAATTCAAAGAAGTAGTCCTTTGTATTACATTTTGTCATAGTAGTACATGCCACATGAAAGCACCATTACCTAATACTCTTCTACACAGAAGGTGATTGCATTGTCAAAGACTGCAGCTGAGTAATTGCAGATCGTCTTGCCAGAGTGTGACTAACTGGGTACAAAATTTTAGATTAAATCACTTACAAACTAGTAATGAGTTTTCAATGTTCACGTTTGTCTAGATTCTAAAACATAAAAATGTGCTTGCATTTACACAAGGTCAATGCACACCTGTCTGTTCAGTGTATGTGTTTATCCATACATATGGATGTAAACATATAACCCTTTGGGGGTGTAATACACTATATTTTTTTATAAGTTGGGAAGAGAGCATGCCTTAGTGGCATGAGGAAGTGGGTGAGAAAGCGATTAGATCTCAGTAGAGAGAATCATAGAATCATAAAATACTAGGACTGGAAGGGACCTCGAGAGGTCATCGAGTTCAGTCCCCTGTCCTCATGGCAGGACCAAATACTGTCTAGACCATCCCTGATAGACATTTATCTAACCTACTCTTAAGTATCTCCACAGATGGAGATTCCACAACCTCCCTGGGCAATTTATTCTACTGTTTGACTACCCTAACAGTTAGGAACTTTTTCCTAATGTCCAACCTAAACCTCCCTTGCTGCAGTTTAAGCCCATTGCTTCTTTTTCTATCCTCAGAGGCTGATCAGCTGTTTGTTGGCTCAGCGCAGCAGCCATGTAAATTTAAATGAAGCGGCGATTATTTAAATCGCCGCTTCATTTTCCTATGTCTGGTAGCCTAATCTACATGCCTCTGGCGACAGAGGCATGTAGTCTAGACGTACCCTATGTTAGGCATTCCTTCAGACTTCTCGGTGAAGACCGAAACAAAGAAGTCATTAAGCATCTCTGCCATTTCCAAGTTTCCTGTTACTATTTCTCCCTCCTCACTGACCAGTGGGCCTACCCTGTCCTTGGTCGTCTTCTTGCTTCTAATGTATTTATAAAAATTCTTCTTGTTTCTCTTTATTCCCATAGCTAGTTTGAGCTCATTTTGTGCCTTTGCCTTTCTAATCTTGCCCCTGCATTCCTGTGTTGTTTGCCTATATTCATCCCCTTTTTATTTTTAGATCATGCAAGATCTCATGGTTAAGCCAAGGCGGTCTTTTGCTATATTCTCTATCTTTCTGATGCAGCGGAATAGCTTCTTTTTGGGCCCTTAATAATGCATACTTCAGCAAAGACAGATTGTTGTTTCACAGAAGTGAGTTTTGAATAGCTGTAACATCTATATGTTCAGAGGGCATCTTTCTCTCCCTCTATCCATACACACCTGCATTTCCAGTTGAGGGATTTTCTGTTTTGTCTTTTGAGTTTTCTGTGCTGCCTTTGAACTTCAGTGTTGTGTGTGATAATCCAAGTGAACAACATGGAGACCTGAGAGATGGGTCTCAAGTTGGAAATTAAAAGCATGGGCTTTTAAAAGCAAGGATTAAAGGGGAGACAATGCAGAACGAGGTGGTAGCAAAATCAAATCAGTATCTTAGTTGTATACAAATGCAAGGAGTATGGGAAATGAGCAGGGAGAACTTGAAAAACTAGTAAATAACATAGTTGGTTACTAGTTAATGACATAGTTGGTATCACAGGTAATATACATGATTGGAATAGAAGGGTACAGCTTGCTCAGGGAGGATAGGCAGGAAAAAATGGAGGATGCATTGCCTTATGTATTAAAATGTATATACTTGGACTGGAGGTTGAGATGGACATAGAAAACAGATTTAAGAGTCTGTTGGTAAGGTTAAAAGGGATAAAAACACAAGAGTGATATCATGGTAACAGTCTATTACAGACCATCTAACCAGGAAGAAGTGAATGAGTTTTCTTTTAAACAATTAAAAAAATCATCCAAAGCACAGGACCTGGTGGTGATGGGGGACATCAACAAGTTCTTAGAATGTATTGGAGACAGTTTATTTCAGAAGGTGGAGAAAGCTACTGGGGGGAGGCTGTTCTAGATTTGATTTTAACAAATCAAGAAGGGCTGGTTGAGAATTTGAAAATTGAAGGAAGCTTGGGTGAAAGTGATAATAAAATGATAGAGTTCATGATTCCATGGAATGGTAGAAGGGAGAACAGCAAAATAAGGACAATGGATTTCAAGAAGGCTTTAGTAAACTCAGGGAGCTGGTATGTAAGGTCCCATAGGAAGCAGGACTAAGAGGGAAAACAATTGAAGACAGTTGACCATTTTTCATAGGGACATTACTAAGGGTGCAAGAGCAAACTATTCCGCTTCATAGGAAATATAGGAAGTATGGCAAGAGACCATTCTGTCTTAACCAGGGGATGTTGAATGACCTAAAAATCAAAAAGTAGTAGTATGAAAAGTGGAAACTAGGTCAAAGTACAAAGGATGAATATAAATAAATGACAAAAGTAGGAAGGGGCAAAATTAGAAAGGCAGAGGTATAAAATGAGCTCAGTATAGCTAGAGACATAAAGTGTAACAAGCAAACATTCTATAAATACATTAGAAGTAAGAGGAAGACCAAGGACATGGTAGGCCCATTGCTCAATGAAGAAGGAAAAACAATATCAGGAATTATGGAAATGGGAAAGGTGCTTAACAACTTCTTTGTTGCTTTTTCACTAAGAAGGTTGTTGGCAATTAGACATCTAACATAGTGAATGCCAGTGAAAATAGGGTAGGTTCAGAAGTTAAAATAGGAAAAGACGTTTAAAATTGTTTAGAGAAGTTAGAGATCTTCAAGTCACCAGCACCTGATGAAATGCATCCTAGAATACTCAAGGTGCTAAGTGAGGAGGTATCTGAGGCATCAGCCATCATCTTTGAAAAGCCATAGGAGATGGGAGAGATTCCAGAAGACTGGAAAAGGGCAAATATAGTGCCCATCTATAAAAAAGGAAAGAAGGTCAGCTCAGGAAACTATAGACTATTTATCTCAACTTCTGTGCCAGCAGAGATAATGAAGAAAATAATTAAGGAATTCATCTGCAACTATCTAGAAGATAATAAGGTGATAGGTAATAGCCAGCAAGGATTTGTAAAGAACAAATCATGTCAAATCAACCTGAAAACTTTCTTTCATAGGTTAACAAACTGCCTGGACAAGGGGAAGTGGTAGCCGTGGTATATCTAGACTTTAGTAAAGCATTTGATACAGTCTCCCATAGCCTTCTTATCAATAAACTAGAGAAATACAATGTAGATAGGGGGTGGATGCGTAATTGGTTGGATAACTGTTTTAGAAAGTAGTTATCAATAGATTAGAGTCATGCTGGAAGGGCATAACAAGTGATAATTTTTTGTGATTGATTCTGTTCAATATCTTCATCAACTATTTAGATAATGACATAGAGAGTATGCTTATAACATTTGCAAATTATACCAAGCTGGGAGGGGATGCAAATGCTTTGGAGGGTAGGGTCATAATTCAAAATGATCTGGACAAACTGGATAAATGATTTTAGATAAATAGGACAAATGCAAAATAGTACAGTTAGGAAGGAACTATCAGTTTTACATGTACATAATGGGAAGTGACTTTCTAGAAAGGTGTACTGTAGAAAGGGATCTAAGGATCAGGATCATAGTGGACCACAAGCTAAATATGAATCAACAGTGTGACACTGTTGCAAAAAAAAAAGCAAACATGATTCTGGGATGCATTTACAGGTGTGTTGTGAGCAAGACACGAGAAGTCATTCTTCCGCTCTGCTCTGCACTCATGAGGCCTCAACCGAAGTATTGTGTCCAGTTCTGGGCATCACATGTCAGGAAAGATGTGGAGAAATTGGAGAAAGTCCTGAGAAGAGCAACAAAAATGATTAAAGGTCTAGAAAACATGAGCTGAGAGGGAGACTGAAAGAATTGGGTTTACTAAGTAGGGATGTAAAATCCCAATAAATCAGTTAACTGATTAGCCGACTTAGTGGGATCCTGGGGCTGGTTCTGCTGCCATTACAGGCAGGCCAGCTCCTGGCCCTGGAGCTGTTGCTGCTTCACTTTTAATGTCATCTTTAAGCTACATACACTAATAAAACTCCTTCTACGCTGTGTACATGAAAAGGAGTGTGATGGTCAGAGAGCCTGTTTCCAAACAAGCAAGTGTCTAGCATTATTTAAAAAAAAAATTGGCAGCCTCGTTTATTTTTTTCAAAAGGTAGATCGGTGTTTGAATGGGTAAAGAGAGTAATCAATTCTCTTACCCTACCAAGTGATCCATGTAGAACTGGAGGGGGGCACGTATGGGGGTGAGTGATTTTGTACAGTGATGGTAATATGCTGGCATCCTTCATGAATGCTAGACTGACCGTGTATGAAATAAGTCACCTTATGCACTGGATTGACAGCCCTGTCCACAGACTGGAATTCTGCTTTGCATTGTCTATAAAACACATACCTTTGGGTTGGACATTAGGAAAAAACTTCCTAACTGTCAAAGCGGTTAAATACTGGAATAAATTGCCTAGGGAGGTTGTGGAATCTCCATCTCTGGAGATATTTAAGAGCAGGTTAGATAGACATCTATCAGGGATGGTCTAGATGGTACTGGGTCCTGCTGTGAAGGCAGGGGACTGGATTTGATGGTCTCTCCAGGTCCCTTCCAGTTCGTGTTCTATGATTCTGTGACCTACAATGCCCAAACAAGTGTGGAAACCATTAAACAAGCGGATTATTAAATAGTACCATTCTGCTTTAGTGTGTCTGTGTAGGTATAGCTATATATGCTAGATGTTAGATTACCAAAACATAACTAAATTCCAGTCTTTTTTTTTTATCATGTTTTAGGAGGTTTTTCAATGGGAGGTGGCATGGCAATGCATTTAGCATACAGGTATCATCAAGAAGTGGCTGGAGTATTTGCTCTTTCTAGCTTTCTCAATAAGACATCTGCTGTTTACCAGGTGAGTGAATGCCCGTGGAGTACATACAGTTTCCATCTAAAAAGATAAACATAATTAGGCAAAGACAACTGAAACACAATACTTCACAGGCGGTGGAATTGATTAACTCTAGGTAATCATTAATCCCCAGGAAATATCCTGCACTGACAACATTAAGCAACATATCAAGGAATACACATTTGGAAACTTTTTTCTTTAATATTGTTTATTTGCGTACTTTTTCAGTCTCACTGCTATAGCACTGTGCAAAGTATGCCAAGGTGTGTAGCACATTAGACAAATTATTTAGTAAAAACTTAAAAAAAACCCAAATAGACTGGTAGCACTTTAAAGACTAATAAAACATGTAGATAGTATCATGAGCTTTCGTGGGCACAGCCCACTTCGTGTCATTCCATTTATATTGCTTACATAAGATCTTTCATTACTGTATTGGTCTTCGAGAATGCCTGACAGAGCATAAAGGTCACAGGCTCCATTCTGCAGTATTCAGGTCAACATGAGTATTTCTGTTCATGTTCTGTAGGATCAAATGCTACATATAGATTTTTGTTCAGCTGTAAATGGGTCTTGTTTAGCATATTGGAATTTTAGGTACAGACTTTTCATATATTTGTTCAACATTAGCATCTTCTAAAATCCTTATTTGAACTTTTTTCTCCTCTCCTCCTCCCCCATATAGGCTTTACAGAAAAATGAAAATGTCCTTCCTGAATTATTTCAGTGTCATGGAACAGCTGATGAGTTAGTTCTGCACTCCTGGGGTGAAGAGACCAACAAGATGTTAAAATCATTGGGCGTAGCAACATCTTTTCATAGTTTTTCAAATCTTAATCATGAGTTACACAAAACTGAACTTGAAAAATTGAGGTCCTGGATTGTAAAGATGTTGCCAGAGGAGATAGCAGTGTCAAATGGATAAATGAAATGACTGTTTATTTACAGCAAGGACTTGTCTACATTAACAGTTAATGCACAGCAGACTAGTATGCAGTAAATATACAACCCAGCTTGCCATGCACCAAATGTCCATGTGGATCCTGCTGCCTCACTAGTTCCCCAGGGCACTTTGGTCTACCCTGCTTTGAAACAGCATAGATCAAAGGCCATAGGGAATGATTAGTGCATGGTGGCATGATCCATATGGACAGTTAGTGCACAGAAAACTGGGGTGAATGTCTACTGCACACTGATCTACATTACGCTAGCTGTTCATATAAATGAGTCCTAAGAGTGTGCATCATCTATTTCACAAGTATAAATACAACTTCATATAGACCCTTGTTGCATACAACTTGCTTACAACCTAGTCAGGATGATGTTAAACTACTGGTAAATCTGTTTTTACTTCTAGGCTGCGTCTAGACTGGCATTATTTTGCAGAAATACTTTTAACAGAAAATTGTTTCCGTTAAAAGTATTTCCGTAAAAGTGCGTCTAGATTGGCATGGATGCTTTTGTGCAAAAAGTGCTTTTGCGCAAAAGCATCCGTGGCCAGTCTAGACGCGATTTTGCACAAGAAAGCCCCGATCGCCATTTTAGCCATCGGGGCTTTTTTGCGCAAAACAGTTCTTCACTGGCCCTCTTGTGCAAGTATTCTTATCCGAACTATTGCAAGTATTCCTATCCGAACTAGCTGTGCGCCTCGTGGAACGAGGTGTACAGCTAGTTCGGATTAGGAAGCCTAATCCAAACTAGCTAGTCCGTGCCGCGTGTAGCTGTGCGGCACGGGGTCCGACCTAGCCAGCATTTAAAAATGGCGGTGGCTGGCTTTATGCAAATGAAGCCCGGGAAATTCAAATCCCGGGCTTCATTTGCAACTCCGTATGACTACATTACCCCCCCTAGTTCGAACTAGGGGAGTAGTGTAGACATACCCTAAGTGTGCACTTAACTTTGTGTACTGAGTAGTCCCATTGTCTTCAAATGAATTTACAGTATTTAAAGTTAAACACACTATGTACAAGGTTGTATTTCATTTTACAAACAGTATTGATATTTGTGTTAATTATATTTAAAGAAGTTATAACTGGCTGTTTTTGGCTCAGCACTGATGCTTGTTATGTGCTGTAATTTTGGTGATATTTGGGATCTATTTTGAATAGCTGTTAAAGCCATGTTTGCTTTTTTTGTTTGTTTGGGGGTGTATAGGAATAGGACCTAATAAAGTGAAAGATGCCACGATGGTTCTGACCCTGTTTCTGGGGGGGAAATTGTTCTGTAGGATGACTGTATGTAGAGATTTATATTTTTGTTAACAATTATATTTTAAGGCACAATCCTGCAGGGTCTGAACTAAAAAACGAGGACACTTGAGTCTGACTGTACATTTAAAAGAGCTGTAAATAACAATGATTGTGATAATAAACAAACCTCATGTCCCCATTATTTTATGTTGAATGATTCAATCCTGTTTCAGTGTTTGATAAATCTATTCTCATTTCATTTTTTTCCTTTGTATTTTTTCCCTTTGCCCCAATTCTCCCTTCTCAAATTTTAAACTTTATTGGCATGACAAGTTATTTGTGTTGCCAAAGTCAATACATCCAAGTCTCTTGCTTAATCTCCTCCTTCTCCCTTTGTTGAAGAGCAGATTTAAGACACTGTTGTATACTCTGTCACAGTAATCACTGCCAGTATTGGCTATGACTTCAGTGGGGTCAGCCAACTCCATGGGGCTGAGAAGTTTCTTTCTACCCATGTGTGTTGAGCCGTAAGCCAGCTTTTACCTATCTTGAAGAGTAAGTAAAGGAAAAAAGTGTCAGTATTGAAGTACAAGGCATGTAATTGGCAGTAGCAAGTAACAACTTCCTGCTGCTAAAAATATTTTGTGTTATTTCATTTCATTGGCATTAGCAAGTCAGCAGTCTGTTCTGAAAAACAGAACTTATAAATGGCACACAAATTTTGCTATTTGAAATAGTAACTGAAAAGTTTTTCTCTTTGCTGCCCCATGTTTCCTAATTGTCGCAGATTAAGTTGAAACAGGTGTGTGTTGAAGCAGCTGAGCTAACATTGCGTTAGCAGAATCATAATTGCAATCTGTGATAAGTAGTCTCTTTAAAGTGTAATATGACGATGCATCAGTTTTATTTTTCTATCGTTTTCTGCTCTTACTACAGTTGCTGTCATGGGAATTTGTTAAGCACTAACATTGGGTGGTAACTCATTCTGGTGACAGGTGCAATGAGACGAAGAGAGATGACAGGCTCTTTTCATTCTGGCATTATGGCTTTTTGATGACATCTGAGAGCAACTCAAAGAAATCGTAACAAATATTATGGTGAGAATAGGAATAGTTACAACTGGAATGGGAAGCCTATGGGCTGGATTTGGGCCATTGCTTAAATTCATCTGGCCCATGGCAAATGTTGGCACTCCCCGGGAGGTTGGAACAGCAAGCGCCAGCTTGCCCCACTCAGCGGGGAAGCCCCAAGTCTCCATGCCCCCCCACCCAGGTGGATGAGTTGAATGTTTTTATCTCTCTTTCTCTCTCTCTTTCTCAAAGAAAAAGAAAACCTAAATTAAGTTGCTTTTTTTACTTGTTTGAGGCCTGCAATTTACTTTTTGTGCAGGTCAGTGTTTCATCATATATTTAGTAGCCCAATGTCTGTGACTCTGTAACGCTGAAATGCTGGCTGTTCCCTCTGGGCGGTGCTGTTGCCTGAGTCATGTCCTTCCCCTCCTGCCCGGGGCGCTTGGTTGACTTCTGTGCCACTCAGCTGGGCCACCGTGGGGGAGCAGGCGGCACAAGTGGCCGTTTGGGTGCTGCAGTCCCCATCCAGCACGGGGGTGCTACATGGGGAGCGCGGAGCCCAAATGGCCACCTGCGCCACTTGCTCCCTTGCAGCAGCCTGGCTGAGCGGTGCAGAAGTCAGCTGAGTGCCACGGTGGGAGACGAAGGGGGCCAGGGTGGTGACGTACATGGTCAGGGGGCGGGGCCCGGCTGTGTACATCACCACCCCGTCCCCCTTCGCCTCCCACCGTGACACTCGGCTGACTTCTGCGTCTCTCAGCAGGGCTGCTGCGGGGGAGCAGGGCCCAAACGGCCACTTGTGCCGCTTGTTCCCCCGTGGCGGCCCAGCTGAGTGGCGCAGAAGTCAGCCGAGTGACACGGTGGGAGGCAAAGGAGGGCGGGGCAGTGATGTGCGGCATGACAACAGCTCCAGGCCCTGCCCCCTGGCCATGAATGTCACCATCCCGGCCCCCCTTCGCCTCCTGCCTTGGCGCTCGGCTGACTTCTGCGCCTCTCAGCCAGGCTGCCGCAGGGGAGCAAGTGGCGCAAGCGGCCGTTTGGGCGCCGCAGTCCCCCGAGTGAGAGGCAGGAGGGGGAGGAGAAGAGAAAGAGAGAGACAGATAGAGAGAAAGGAGGGAGAGGAGAGCTGAGAGAGAGAGAGTGCGGGGGAGGCAGTAGGAGGAGGAGAGAGATGGTGTGAGAGACCAGAGGCTCAGGAGAGAAGACCGACATGGAGGAGAGACCTGAAAATCCCGTCTTATGATGGGCTAATTGGCATGTGATAGTGATAGAATAAGATTCCCCACTACTGAATTACAAGTCCTGGTTTGTGAGACCATCCTTTCTTTGTAATATCAATGGACTACTTCGGTTCCCTTTATTAAACACCATATTGGATCTGGAGTTTTTTTTAATCCTATTATATAGATTAGAGACCAGCTGTGAAGGTTAGATCACGATCTGGATTTTGGAAGATGCGTGGATATAGATTTTTTTTGCCCATTTCAACTCCTTAATTAGCATCACACCTATGAAGTAGATAAATATTATTTCACTCCTGAATAGATATGTTCTGATTTATACACAACCTGGAAATGGTTTTTTAAATCAGTCTTCATTGTACAAAAAGATCATGAATCATCCAGTGATCTTAATATTCTGAATGATATGAATCTTCAGAAAATCTACATGGAACAGGTGCTCCAAGAAAAGTTTGCAGATCATTAAACTGGGATATGAGTATCATGTTTGAAGATTTTGACTTACGATGTGGTTAGTCCCCCTGCCACTATCTAGTTGAGTTTAGGAATGAAATGAGAATGAGCAAGACTGCCATAGTGATCGTGGGTTGCAGCAAGAGGAAATGGCAGAGGTATTATTAGACACCATGGAATGATTTTCTGCTATTTGATGACCATATTATTGTGGTAATCACATTAGCTTTTTGCCAGCTTCCCTGGTAGTGATCTCGCCTTTCAACTGCAGACTTTGCCCTGCTTTTGTAACTTCCTGCTTAGACTGCTGCAGCGCACTCTTTGGGTATGTCTACACAACAGGGCTAATGGTGAATTAAGCTATGCAACTTCAGCAGTGACAATTGCGAAGCTTAAGTCGAAATGGCTTAATTCGGCTTTTGGTACTATCTACACAGCAGGAAGTTGAAGGAAAAACACTCTTCCTTTGACTCCCCTTACTGCTTGTGAAATGAGGGTTACCATGAGTCGGAGTAAGAAGTCTTCCACTTCACCATTATTTCAAAATAAAGGCTTGTAGAGTAGATGCACACTGTGTTATTTTGGAATAACGTTAGTTATTCCAAAATAACGCTGCTGTGTAGACATACCCTAAGTAGGGCTACTCTATAAAACTGTTCACTTGCTTGTTTCATATGAGGGACATCTTATATGAAACCAGAGTCTGGGATCTCTTCTGGCCACCTATTGGTCTCTGGGTGGAGTTTAAAGATGTGCTTCCCTAAGGTACCAGAGTTCTTTGTTGAATAATTAATGCCATGCAGATGGTTGTGCATCAGGGTAGATAGAGCTTTGCACAGGAGGCTCATTTTAAATCAAAATAAATAAAACAATTATTCATAGTAAGAATGGAATCCAGCAGTTCCAGTTCTCAGTCCTTCACTTCCAAATATCCATGCACGACTGCCTTTCATCTGAAGATTTTCAGATGTTGTTGGGCCAAGTGCACTTTGAGGGCAATAGAGACGTGGCAGGGAAATATTTGGGAAACTAGATTTTTTATTATTTTGCATGCTCATTACTGTTTTTTCAGGTCCATTCTCCTGAGAGAGAGGGATAGAAAATATATTTAATGATACACTAGCATAGGTTGTAAGAAGGAATAAAATGCA